GGAGTACAGCTATCATCAACCGCAACATATCGAAGACTACAAGAAAGTAATCACACACTGCCCCGTGGCCAATTATTTTGAACTAAAAGTGCGACATTTTAGGGTGTTAAAATTTGGCTGCCTGACGCAGAGGAAGTATGGATCAGCGCGGTGGTGACAGAAGATTTTGTGCCCTCAAAAAAATACCTTAGAGTACAACCGGAAAACGGCGAGGTGAATTATATTTCGTCATTTCGCTGGCTGTCGGATTAATCGTAACCAACTCTTGAACTATTTCATTGAACCCTCATTATTCTGTTCTCCACACAGTCACACGTCAAGTCCTTTCCAAAGTAGATTTCAAGGTATCCTCAACCAAGAACTTGCGAAAATCAGCTGCTGCATGAAAACTCGTACTCAATTGCTATGCATCAGTGAATCCCAGGTTTAATTTTGTGTTTTCATAGCAGAGTAGTGTTAAGGGCCATGTTTCGACTTGGCAGCTGGCCTCCTTCAACGAACGTGCTGGCTCACGACTGCTGTTTGTACATTTCAACTCATAATTGCATATGAAACACGCAACATTAAGGCATTTCAAACTTAAGTCAAGTACCAGCATCAAAACAAGCTCCAGAGCTACTGCTGCAATAGTTTCACTGCATAGTAGATTCTTCGAAGGCGTTGTTGACATGAGCTTGCATCTAAAAATATATCAATATTGCAACTCTGTTCCTCAGGCTCTAACATTCTTTCAGGCTTGAGACAGTTAGCTCTGAGTAACTTCTTTCTACATTGTTCAGGTCAATGATTTATAAAGGTTTACAGTTTACTGAAGGCACCTCATATACATGCCTATGACCCACATAACTTCCTGAATTACATCTGAACCTGAGTGGTATAAACGCTGTCTCTACAAAAGACATTGATTTCTTATCTGTTTGAATTCTATATTTCGCTACTTTCGAAAATACTGTATGAAATTCGAACGCATGGTCAACCGTGTGATGATCATGAATGACATTCTTTCATTTAGGAAGTATCTATCCCTGTTCTTTCACCTGATCACCTGCCTTTCCTATGCAATCCTGAGTTCCTCATCGACACGAACGATCTGGCAACGTTGAGCTACCTGAATGAACCCGATGTCCTCTACAACTTGAAGTACCGCTTCGAGCTCGGCAATATCTACACCTACTGCGGTAATGCTTGGAGATAGTTGATCGCGTTACAGTCCTACCTGTTCATGATTACGTACATGAAGAGAAAACATTTTAGTTCTGTAATTGAACAGCTGTTATTTTTTCTTGCAGAGTTATAAAAGACCTTTGCATCATATGCAGGGCAAAAATTGTATCATTCTATGAATAAGACGAAGGCTCTGAACATTTAACCGTTTCAGAACAAGTCTTAGAACCACCGAAAGTCAAGTTAAAGTCGAACTGGTGGTAACATACGAGTGTTTTGTATGTTTAGGAATCGCCTTGGTAGCTATCAATCCGTACAAGGATCTTGACCTGTATGACGACAAGTACTTTCGTCACTTTCGAGGACGAAATGTGCGCCAGCTCGACCCTCATATATACTCGGTGGCCGAGGAAGCGTTTGCTTCCCTTGTTCAGTAAGCAAACAACTCTGTTCAGTTACCTTTTGGTTATGAGAGCTCGTATTAAAACAGTATGTTTATTTTTAAATTATTTGTACTTTCCTAAAATCATAATTATTCAAAATGACTGCAATTACTTGCTGAAGTGACCGGTCGAGGACCCCCGGGGACCACAAAGAATGACCTAAGACAAATGTCCAGACTTACACTGTTCCAAACTGTGATTATCTTCTGTCAAAGCTCAGATGCTAACATAGGATCAGGAGTGTTGAAGACGCAGTCTGATCTACTCAGTGACTGAATGTCTACTGCTTGACAGACCGACCAAATGACTCATGACTACACTTGTTGTACACCAAAGTCAAACAACGTTTTAGAAGACGATTTCTTCAGACTATACCTTTTCGTTGAGGTGGTCTCGAGTATATCTGAAATTTAGGGCAGAAGCAGGCATTCTGTCATTTTGAGCTTTTTTCTAAAATTCTTTTTCACTGGTTCTCGTTTTAACTGCATTCTTTAAACGGAATCAACAAGTGATTCCATTTTGCAATAGTGACAAAACAAAAAAAATAAAATTATATATTTGCCTGTAACTCTCAGAATCTTTGATGACACCTGCATTGGCTGGTAAGGTGGATCTGCGGCAATGCTCACACCGTGAGAATATTTGACTTGTTGCTAACTAGTGGTGGGCAGCAGTGATAGACACTGCAAGAGGTATCCATACAGAAGGAGCAATTTAAAACTAAAGATATTGTTTACCTATTGAATATCGCCATACAGCCATGGTTGCAAATTGTATCGTTTAAAGCCTGGCCACTAAGTCTCTATGGCAGTAACATAGACTGCTTCAAGGCTTTAAAATAACAGCCAAGAAGCAGGTGAAACAATGCCCGATCCATAGTACATGTATGCAGCAGGGGGACACATACAAATGCATGTTTTAACGGTGGGACTATAGGTCGTGAAATCGTTCAGTCTTTGGCAAAAACGCGCTGCAACACATTTGGCAGAAATTTAGTGTTTATTCGTAATGAGATTCGAAGAACCAGTGACTCAACGGTAATATATTTACTTTGGGATCATATTGGCTAGTCATGTACGAAGAGGTTGTGAGCAGCAAGTCCAAAGAACGCTTTCCTCCCTTGACTGAAGATCAGTCGATATTCTTGGCTGTGGTAATAATGTGTTTCCATGTGTTAGTAATGTTTATTAGGTAGCATAGAGAAATTGACGGCTTAAGCACAAAGGAAGCTTCACAAACATATAGAGACTGTGGTTGCATGAAATACGGCAACCGTCTTATGAACAAAAATATTTGCTTTTGTAAACAATATGGCATAACCGAAATGAATATTACGCTACAGCTGAACGCTGACTCTCTTCCTCACAGATCCAACAAGAATCAGTCAGTGGTGATCACCGGCGAGAGCGGCTCCGGGAAGACCGTGTCGGCCAAACATGTGATGCGCTACCTGGCTCACGCGTGCAGCGGTGCAGTCAAGTCGAGGCGAAATCGTAGCGACGTCGAGGACAAGGTTCTGGCTAGCAATCCGATCTTAGAAGTACTTACTGTACGGTAGTAGTTGTACTCATTAATCAAGTGGTGGTCGTTATAGGCTTTTGGAAACGCGGCGACGATCAGAAATGACAACAGTTCTCGATTTGGAAAGTTTGTACAAATCATGTTCGCCGATGAGTACTTCATTACCGGCGCCTTCATCGAAACGTACCTCCTGGAACGGAGTCGAGTAGTGTATCAGGTATAGCAAATTAGTTTCATGATTTCACTCCACTGATGGATCAGCTATGACCTTCTGATCAACAGCCTTCTGTCAATTTGTGGCTGAATTTTATTTTTACTATAAAACTGTCCGTAAGTAACTGGTGTGTTCCAAACAGGACTGATAACCAAAATGTTTCGAAGGCTATTTCTCAGATGAGGAACCTAACCTATCCAGCGAAATGAAGGTGTCTATGTGTTATACCTGTTCAGTCAAATAGTGTCCTCGTCTATATATAGGTCAGACGAGCGCAGCACTGCCTCACACTATCCTTTTTGACTCTTTGCCACTCGAGAAGAATCGCATTTGCGGATTTTAGGATTTTAAGTTCGATGTTCTTAATACTAGCAGTTAGACATCTGCTAGGTCCTTCCAGTATCATGTGTAACCGTTCGTAGATAGAGTAATTCGTTCGTGCGCTGGTGTTCATTCTGAAAAAGTTGCTTTGAACACGGCTTACTTATGCCGTGGTCAGTCAGGTGACTTACCAACATCGACGTTTTGGCCCGTGTTTCAGGGGCCTCTTTCAAGGTAGGTTGGTGGTGAGGTTTCGTAAAGACAGATTAGGAGCCAAAAGGTAAGCTGTCGGTTAAGTACATTCTTGGCGACAGCTGTAACGAGGTTCATCCAATCTAATGTGGAGTGATCGAAATTAGTGTTCATTTCCCCATCAGATCATCGACTTGATGTTGATGTCCACGGCTACGCTTCGTTATGTCTGCTGCTAACTTGAAACAGCAAAAAGTGCTGCTGCAGCTGCAAGGATATGACATTTACTTCTCATAATACCTTATCAGAACTTGTATGATAATTTTTTTCCATATTCGATTGAGACCGAAATAATGCTTTAGCTGATCGGGGTAAACACATTGTACCTTGTCCTCTTTCTTCATTGCCTCATATTAGATGGAGTATTTGACTTATACACTGGGAGTCATACTGAAAACAGCGTATACGGTGTATTTATTCACTACGCAAGTTTAGAGGTCCTCTGCAGCTGAAAAGCAAACGTTCGGTCGGCGCTGACGGTTGAGTAGTTTTTCTAGCAGCTGGCTTACAATTGTATCCCGACTGGATGATTAGCACCTCTTTCAGGAGTTTGTTATGGCAGTTTCTTGTTTTAATGATACAACCGGTACCACCTGACCATCGGGAGTGAGGGCGTGTCTTCCTAGCTCAAATTTTACGAAAAAATATGCAGCATAGTGCATGTACATATTTAATTTGTTCTATCCGGCACTTCAATAAAGGTTACTTTTTTCTAAGCAGATTTGCTGGCCCCTGATATATCGCTTTGCATTTCCAATTCCAACTGTTAGAGTTTCCAATTCATGAAAAGCCTTTGTGGTTATCATAGCTGTTGGGAAAAGTACTCTCAAGCATAATTCGCATTGAAATGCGATCCCATATTTTGATGGTTGCATGCCTTTAGCCAAAAGGACGCGATGATGAATTTATTGAAATGATCTGTTTGAAAATTTTTGCACTTAATTTGAATCTCGTAGGCACAAGATGAGCGCAATTATCACATATTTTATCAGCTTTGTGCCGCAAGAAACAAAGAGCCGATGCTTGAGAAGTTGCAGTTGCGTAAGTTGCAACGGTGTTGGTGGTCAGTACGGTTTATTGCGGTGCCGGTTGTAGTTCCCTCAGCAGATTTTTACTACCTCAACCAAGGCAGAAAGTCGTCAAATGGCGTGGCTGACGATCTGATGATTTTTCACGAGACTCATGAAGCATTTCTGCAGTTAGGTAAGGAGGATTGTGTAAAGATGACTTTCGCCTTACGTGA